TGGAGGTCACCAGCGGGCCAGATGTGGCCCGTGGGTCGCCAGTTGAATAGCCCTGATGAAAGCTACAAGTTATGGTGCTTTTTAATTAAATTGTACTTAATAATAAGATGAGGTCACCAAAAAGCTAGCTGATTTATTGCCTTTGAAGCAGAAATTACCTGAGAAAATCAACAATGGAGGAATAGGAGGAGTGGAGAGAACAGTTGATTTAAAGAAAATAAACTAACAAAAGCATAAAAAATGAGCAACCTGGAGGCTGATTAATGCAGAAAACTGTGTCTTATGAACAGTAAGTTTGTAAACCGTGTAATTTAGTGCATTTCTTTTTCATTATGCACACACCCGCTGTACCTGCCAGGCGACCCGTAAAACTAAAAACAAAACAAAAAAACTAAAAATAAAACCTGAGGAGCAGCACGCTGTAATGCGCTGGCTGTGGAATCAAGCAACAAAGTGCAGATTACACACCCCGGCTGAATGTTAATGCTGTGCATATCTGTAGAAATCTGAAACGCTCCGCATGAGATTCCACTGGGCTTTGTGCTTTCGCCCATTTCATTTTCAATATCTTTCCGCCTGGGGGAGATGCACTTTGTTTTACACTGATATGCTTTTTGTCTGTGCGGTTTGTGTCTGGGCAGAAAAAAAAAGAAAGAAAAAATCAGCGCACTGAGATAGTGGTGTGATGCTTGTGTGGTCTTCAACCCTATTCACCCCCCCCCCACACACACACACACACACACACACAAACACACACACACAGTACTGTACACCCTGCAGTTAAAGCAAAGTTTCATGTGGTTGAAATACTGTTTTGCTTCATTTATTTTGCTGAAATGATTAAAAATTCAAATTTAAACAAAAGTGTTTCAGCACACAAAACTGGTCTTGTGAGAAGAGAGCTGAAACCGAATTAAATGAGAACCGTAAGCACAAACTTATTTAAAATTTTATGGCTGATAATCCACATCCTGGTTAAAAAAAGTCAAATTCAGGTGTAAAAAATAATAAATGGTAAAATAACTTGAACTTATAGCGGCTGATTACCTGTTGAAGTCAGCCCAGTTCAAGATGGCTGCCATAACGGATCAATTTCAGAAAACACACTAACTTTTATAACCTTTATAAATATTGAGCTGAAATTTAGTGTGGTAGTGGCCGAGAGTCATCCTCAACTCCTCAGCACATTAACTGATCGCTAACAGATTGAGTAAAATCTTTGTTTAACATTTTACCATTGGCGTCGACGCAGTTTCCCTGTTAGCAAAATATCTCATGAACTACTGAACACAGTTTAATGGAACTCTCAGGGAACAAGTGTTGGATGTAAATCTGCAACTGATTAATCCATTTTAGAAAACCAGTGTTGCATAAAGTACCTCAACGTGATACTTGAGTAAAAGTACAAGTATCTTATCATAAAAATACTTTGGTAAAAGTTAAAGTCTTCTATAAGACTATTACTTGAGTAAAAGTCTTAAAGTATCTGATATTTTTTGTACTTAAGTATCAAAAGTAAATTTCTGACACAAAATCTACTTAAGAATTTAAAGTAAAAGTATTGAGTAAAAGTGAGCTGTTACAATTTTCCTAAATGACATTAACTGGGAAGTGACTTCTCCAAAAATATTTTTTCTAATGGCGTGCAGCTGTGATGGACTGTGTACGAAGTAATACGGTGCCAGAATTGTATATATTTATACTTCTCATCCAACCACAATTAAATTTACTCTGCAATTTAGCAGGATAGTATTTTTTTAAATAATAAAAACACGGAATAAAACAGGAGAAACAACTTACTACTTCTTACCTTTTTAAAAAATGTAAGGAGAAGAAAGTACAGATAATTGTGTAAAAATGTAATGAGTAAAAGTAAAAAGTACACAGATACTCAAGTAAAGCACAGATAACTAAAATTTCTACTTAAGTACAGTAACAAAGTATTTGTACTTAGTTACTTTACAACGCTACACAAATGTCCACCACTGCAGATGTTGAGCTCAACACTAACGTGGTCATAGCTGATGGTCATCCTCAACGCATATTTTAAAATCATTTTTAAGCATGCATTCCAGGAATGCTGGTTTCATTGTAAAGAGGAGTTGTCTTCTGCATGTGCAGCTGGGGTGTTAAACTGGTATCTGATAAGTAATGCAGTCTCACAGTGTTGGGATTCAACATGTGTGCTCCAATTAAAACAAATAAATGAAGCATGCAGTGGATAATGTTTACCCCTTTACGGTCTTTGTTCCACCGGTGGGCAAAAACAGCACGGTTTCTGACTTTAAACGTTTCCAGGCATTTCCCGACGCTACCGAAGAGGGTGTCAAATGACTTCCTTCGGTTCTTACCTTTAGCTTGATACCCTTAGAAAAAATTAAAAATGTCACGTCAAAAAGTATTTTTTTTACAATGATATGACTATTCTCTGTTTGACCCGAGGCTAAATTAAGTCTGTCTTTTTAAACCACCCAAACAACTCTTTAGTATTTCATAATCTCACTCTTGGTTGGCGAAATAGTCACAAAGGCTCAGCGATGAACAACGCCTCTAACACGCGGTAGCCGAGGTTGTCAGGTAATGATGCGCTTCCTGTTCCTTGCAGTCCCGCTGAACAGAAACTTCCTGTCCTGCCCGGATGACAAATGATATAATCTGCGGTCCTGACAAACAGCGACGGCTGCATCATGCACAAAGTGTTTTATTTCCCAGGCTTCGCAAAGCCGCCTCTTCTTGATGCGGCAGACGAGGTCACAGACCGTATGCGCGAGAGTAATTTAGTAAATTTGTGTGTGTGTGTGTGTGCGTCTGTGTGTGTGTGTGTGTGTTTGTGTGTGTGTTTGTGTGTGTGTGTTTGTGTGTGTGTGTTTGTGTGTGTGTGTGTGTGTGTGTGTGTGTGGGGGGTGAATTGTGGAGAGGGCCGGCAGATGATGCCATTCGGATGCAGAGCACACAGATATATATTTGTGGCGAGGCAGGATCGCCTCGTTGCATGTCAATGAGCTTCCGTGTCAGTCCCGTGTGATTACCGGGGAGAAGTGACACAACTCAGCCTTTCAGCCCTGCGAGATGCAGCGTGGCAGGAGATGGAGAGGCTGATACGGAAGGAGGGATAATTTTAGACAGAGGGTGAGACTTGGTGAGCTCAGATCATCGTAGATATGCCGTTGCTCCACACGCCAAACGTGTGTGTCAACAGCCCCTCACCTCACCCCCACGGAGTGATGACCCCCCCACTCCACTCTCACCCGGACACACCACTGCTTTCTAGCTGCAGTGATTTTGTATAGAAACGTGTAGCAGGCTGTGTCTCCCTGCACATGAGCTACTTGTCATTAATTCATAAGGCCACAATCTGTGTGAGACTCAGTAAAGGCTCTCTGTCCAATGGAACACTCTGTCCCTGGGGTCCCAATAAGCAGCATCAAGAGCCCTCCACGCACACACGTGCACACACACACAGGCGCACAACTGTGCTCTTTTAATGAGTGTATCAGAGAACAAAAGCTGATAAAAATGCATGCCATGGCTCAGCCTTTAAAAAGGGAATAAGAAATAGGCTTCAGCGCAGCCACACAGCATGCCTAATCACCTTTCTCTGCACATGCACCTTGCATACTTTCACACATACTGTACTCCGAGTCAAACTCACATCTCCCCGGCACGGAACTACACCAATTTGCTCTTCGCAAGGAAAAACCTCGAAAGACATAAATATATGAAAACTGTATCAGCGTGGATGATACAGTTAGTCAGGTTTGCACTCCTCGTCTCGTCTGCGGAGGTTAAATCGGACAGGCCTCCAGGCATTCCAACCTCATTTTCACTTTGCCTTTTTTTACCTGGAAGATTTTTGACTCTTATCTTCTGATCTGTGTCACAAATTTACCCCCATTCACAAACAACGATCAGTCGTCTTTTTATGCTCAACTTGTCTTTCCTGACGAGTCTCAAACCTGTCTGTTGCCTTTGCTGATGGCTTATTTCCCCACTAGGGGGCAGTGAAATTCCACAGATGGCTGAGGAAACCTGCAAGTCCATCCTCTATGTACAGTTTTGATGAGTTGTGTGGTCAGCGCTCACGCCTCACCAGGAAGTTCACCAGCCTATTAGCAGACTGAGCGGCGTCTCAGCAAGCTCTAATAACAGTCTGAGGCGGGGAGAATATTTTATTAGTGTGAATCTGTTGTCTTTCATTTATGCTGCAGAGTTAGCCCCTGTTTAGAGAGGTGTGTTGACACACTATTACAGCCACATGGTAATTGACTGTGTGTGTGTGTGTGTGTGTGTGTGTGTGTGTGTGTGTGTGTGTGTGTCTGTGTGCAAGTACACATGCATCAGAGGCTGTCACTCAGCTGTAATTAGGAAAAGTCTCTCCTGCTGTCCTCTGACAGGCGTTGAATTTACCTTGCAAATAGTGTGAAAATCATGCATGCGTGCGTGCGTGCGTGCGTGCGTGCGTGCGTGTGTGTGTGTGTGTGTGTGCGTGCGTGCGTGCGTGCGTGTGTGTGTGTGTGTGTGTGTGTGTATGCATAACTTATTTCGATGGCATATTTGATCAGCTGTTAAATGTTTCAGTTAATAGGCCCCTCTGCTGATTTCTTTTTATGTACTCCCATTTTGGAATCAGTTCAGAATTTTTTTCAGCTCATCATGCGTGCTGTTTCGTGCATCCATCTGTCTATGTGTGTGTGTGTGTGTGTTGTTGTGTGTACATGAGAGGCTGCTGGAGTGTTTGTGCGGGCGAAGGGGGCCCGTGTCTGATGTTTAGAGTGGGGATCACATTCAGCCCGCGGGTAGGTGAACCTATTGTAAACAATGGATCTGACAGAATCTAGGCCTTCACATCTCCAACCCTGTGTGCGTGACTGTGTGTGTCCACGTGTGTGTGGGTCTGTGTGTAGGAGCAGACCTTCATACAAGGCCAGTGAAGGCCACAGAGGAACCCTGGGGCAGACTGGCCTCTCTGACAGAGTATCTTTTCTGCCTACTTTCTCCAGAGGCTTCTTCTGTTTGAGGCGAGGAAGAGGAGGAAGAGGAGCAGGTTCGAGGTGCGTGTGGACGCAGCCATGGCCGGTACCCCATGAGAAGCTGCGCGGAGAGACACAAGGAGACGACCGGCAGGTGAGATGACTTTAAATTAAACACGAAACTAATGATTGTGTTATGAAAATGATGACAGCTTTCTGTGTTTTTTTAATTCATTTTTTTATTTATAGGTTAGTCTTGTTGAAACACAATTGTCTCATTTGCAAGCGAGACCTGCTATACAGATTTAACCAGTAAAACACATTGATGCAAAACAAACAGTCCAACATTAAAACAAATTCAAACAAAACTTTGAAAGTAACCAAAATCTGAAAAAACAAACTAACAACATCAGAAATAGGAACTTATGGATGCAATTTTCAGTTCTCTCATTAAAAGTTTAAATTTCTTTTTTTCTTCATTAATAAGATCATCTTTAAAATCTAATAAAACAGAGTTCAACTCAAAAAGTTAGGATTAGGGTGTTTTGTACAAAATGTGCCCAAGAAACACTTTAAACTTTACAATTTCTTGTATAAAATAGAAAAAAAATCGTATTTTAACACTTCTAACAAGTCAAACATATATTAATGGTTGTTTGTTACTAATAAATAATTAATTAGTTCAGTTTAGTTTATTTAAATAATGCTAATTCACAATAAAAGTTACACTGTCCAGTAAATCAAACATATAATTCATATTCAATTATAAATAATCCAGTTCATTTCAGAACAAATTGATTCTGACTCTGAACACACAGTCATGTTTGATCGATCATATTCAGCACATTATTTTAGTTTTTGTGATTTTTATCTGAAAAATGATAAATCATCTTGTTTTTAGACCATTTTTCTTAAAACTACATGAACACGATTTGTCTTCTAGTATTGTTACATCAGAATGTGCTGACTGTTATAACACCAGAACTTTCAGGTTAGGATGTTTGTTCAAAAGAACGGTTTAAAGATTTTTCTGATAACTTTGCAAATGTTTTCTTTAGAAAAATAACAATTGTACACAAAAAAGTTCAATTATCTGAACAAACATTAATTTTAATCACATCACTTTGATTCCGGCTTGTTTTTACTGCAACATTTTGTTATTATTTAAAGGTATTACAGTGAAAAGAAAATTGTAAAAGTTAACCTAAGCGTGATGAAAAATAAAAGCATGAAACAAATCCATGACGGCTGCAGCTCGACGTGTTCTTGTGTTTTTGTGTTTTTGTGTGTTTGTGTCGGCAGCGTGTCTGCTTCTGCTCTCGTCTGTTCTTGAGTGTTTCTGTTTTCTCTGACCTTTGCCACATCCCCTCTCTCACGTCGTTCCCGTTCGCCCAGAAAGCTACACTTTGTCTTGTTTGTTTATCAGACGCTCATGGCCTCTTTCTCCTCCTCTCCTCCTCTCCCTCCCACAGGATGAGTGTGAGGGGAGGGTCAGCTTGGCCTTGGCAGGTGGCCTTCCTCGTTGCCTTGGTGATGCTCTGGGCTGACCCGGCGTCTGCTGGCAATCGCAATCATCGGGGACCAACAGGTACAACCGGGTCTCGCTCCGAACCCCTTCCACCGCTACGAGAGGTTAATTACACTGTCATTTCAGAGGTATTACATGTGTTCCCTGAAGCTGCCGTGACTTGAACCGTTCACATCGTAGGAGGGAGGAGGGGGACATATTTACTGTGTTTCATCAGTATGACAGATTGTAATCTAGACCTTGTTGTTGGCTTCAGACAAAACCTCTGTTTGAGTGATTCACTTCCTTCAGATACAAATGACACTTTAGCTGTCAGAAACTGTCAAAACAAACAGAGCCGTCTGAGTGAGATGTGATCTATTAAAGAGTGAAGAGGTGCAGCTTTTCTTGTTCTTAGTGCTTCACTTACAGTAAGATAAGGTGCATCCCTTATGGCTTCATCATGCAGACCCCTTTTTGGCCGAAGGCACCAAAGCACTTAGCACGTGCTGTAAATTCTCTCAAAAAGAAAAAAAATAAGTAGGTCCWCTGGWTGGGTTCTTCTTTAGTGAAACGTTTCGTCTCTCCTCTAAGAGACTTCTTCAGTCTGATGAGTTTCAGGTGACCTCAGCCTTATAAGCACTGCCTCCACATGGACAAACAGGTTAGTCATATGCAAAAGAGGGTCATCGCCTAACAATAGGCTTGATTAGCTCTATTGTTCATAGAGGGTCATGTGCCCCATCACCTGACTTAYTGRTTTGGATGATTCAGCTGTGGTTATTTGGTGTTTTGTTATGTGTATGAAGTGAGTGCAAGCGGGGGTTCAACGTCCCCTTGTTTTTGTCTTCTTTCCCTCTTTGTGTTGGTATCATTGGGGCCCTGATTATCACGTGTTGCTCACAGGGGGCTGCAATACTTGTAATAACAGCATTGTAGGAGGGGGACAACTGGACACGAAGGCCTCCACCTCTGTTTAATGATGGATGGTTTTTCTTCACAAAGATGGCTTCCTTTACTCCTCTCTCAAACCAACGTTCCTCTCTATCAAGGTTTTGAACATCTTCATAACCTGAAAGAGTGACTGCTGACCTGTAGATGAGTGTAAACTAACTACAGAGTCCTGACCTGACGATGTAGCTCGTCTGTGCTGGCTCATTCTTTTGAACAGTGGCTGCTTTGTTTCCCCAATGTATGACTGATCACAGTCCTCCTGACACTTTACAGCATATACTACATCACTCTGTTTTTGCCAGGGAACTGGATCTTTGGGGTGAACTAATCTTTGTCGTGTAAGTTCTCTCCTTAACTCCAAAAGTCACGGAGAGAAAAAAAAAAAAAACAAGAAAAGAAAGCATGACCAGCTTAACCTTAATGATGTTTTACCAAGGATGACAACAGGGACAATTATTCTGAGTCCACATCATCTCACRCCACAACATGTTGGCTCAAACTTCTTCTGCCACCTCATCCTCACTTAATTACAACAATTTTCCTTAATTATGTCTCCATTTCTCCTCCGTTCCTGTTTGTGTTGAGCGGGGTGACCTTTACAGGCCAACAGAAATGCTGCCAGCATCCAGTCTTTTCAGTGACTGATTGTATTAGTTTCTTTTTCTCAGAAAGAAAGAGAGAGAGGCTGCCTGCTTACGGCTGGGACACTGTTAATTGCAGGCCCCGTGGATTGTGAAGGTCAGCATCAGTGCTTGCAATCCCTCCTCCCTTCCCCTCACGTCTCATTTCACTCTTCACTCAGAAACAAGATATCTCGCATCACGAACGGAAGTGCTTTTCAGTTTGACGGTTTACCTCTAATTGGTGGAAGTTTTAAGATCTGTTGGCTGTGAATCCCAATAAGATACACACATTATAGAGAGAAGTTGAAAAATAATTGGGTGCATGTTTTGGCTGCTAGATACATTTTTAGTCTTTTTCTTCTTAAACACGTTTGCTCCTGTTTTGTTGCCTGATCAGTGCTCTCCTGGTTTGATGATGCTTTACCAGCTTTGACCACTTGGGGGCTCTATAGGTCAAAGAATGCTCCTCCTGCTGCTCTTGTGTTGTTTTCTTTACAAACAAAAACTCATGTTTTTGTTGTTTTCCTCAGCAATAATCTTTAATTTAACAAAAACTTTATGAAAAAGACATATTATGTTGGAAATTAATGACTTTTTTAAGCTTAGAGTTTAAAATAACTTATGGTTTGGTAAAACAAAAAAGTAAAACGTTCAGGAAGTATGTTTTTTATTTTTTTAAACATTTTTTTGTACTTTTGTTTAAAGCAATATTTGGATTGGTTGTTGCTTAAATTGTCAGAATCCTAAAACTTTTTAGTTTGTGTTGCTTTTCTCAGTTTATCCATCAAACAGTGCACAAGAGAAAACACTTTCTATGCACTGATTGCTGGACAAAATGTGTTATTTTTATTTAATCACATTAAAAAAGAAGTGGCAGACACCTACAGCACAAATAAAAAAATATAAATCATCAATTGGTGCACTTTAACAAAAATCTTTACTACTACCTCTTTTTGCATACAAGACCATAAAACCTGGTGAAAAACACCTATCACCTGCTAGATTCCTGATGTTGTTATTTTAATCACGGACTTTTTTCATATCAGCTAAAAAACATTTCTTGTATTTTTATTATAAAGAAACAGTGCACATTAATGATCATTGGTTCACCTTGTAAATGTCCCAGATGTAACTGTGAGAATTAACTTTCCTCTGTGTAAATCCTGACAGGTTGTTTGTAAAACACTTAAGGAAAGTGATAAGAAAAAAAAAGACATGAAAAAAACTGACATATATGGATCAATAAAATTGCAAAATTCAAATACAGTGAAGCAAAGTGCCAAACTAAGCCCCCGTTTACCTGGGTATGATTGTGAAAATAAAAGTGAAGTATATCAAGTGTAATGTGAATGAATAAATGAGAAACACTGTAAAGTGCAATGTGGACCATTTTACCTTTTATACAAAATAATAGATGATCACAGGTTTGGTGATTTGTAGAAGACTCTCTAAATGATGATAATAAATTGTACCAATATTAGCACATTTTAGCTGACAGCACAATACACAGCATGGTTCCACTTCCAGACTTCTGTTTTAATAAAGCTGTTCAAGGGAGACAGGGCAAGTCTGTGTAAGACCTGATATATGAATCAAGCAGGTTTGCAATTAAGACAATTCTTAAAATATATTAAAAATGTATTTTTCTAAATGTTACAATGATGAAATTAAGATTTTCTCTTGCTAATAACTTTTAAAGCATTCATAAAAAAATGTTTCTATTTTCAATGTATTCCAGGATCTTTTAAAACCAACTCATCTCAGCTGGTTCTGTGCTCCTGTGTTTCACTTCATACGATTTCAGACTTTATAACTGGTAGAAATGCACACATATTGATATAACTCTAYTTTCCTGCAAGCCCCTCACGTGTTCTAACTATAACATCTGCTGCTCATGTTTTCGTTTACCACTTTACTTTTTCGAATGTTTAAAATTAGATTAATGAGGATCTCGCTCCACAGCTGATATTCCAGCAGATGGACTCCCATCACATCTTGTTACAGTCGGCTCAACAAACCAAACACTTTTACACAAAAACCATGCTGGTGCCACATTCATGGAGTCACTAAGAACCTGTTTAGAACCACATWCGTAGCTCCAGCTGCGTTTGAAAAATGCTGCTGTCACATTTGTGCATTTTTAATATAACTGAGTTTTACGGGCAGGYTTGCTCTCCATCTGTTTGTCTGTCTATTTAATGCACCTCTGTCCGTGTCGTCTAAGAAATAACAACAGAACTGACAAGGTCAAGTGGGCGGACTTTACCGGGGATTATTTTACAGTGTGGCAGAGCTCATCTGTACCAGAGAACTGAAATGATAATTCACATTAATCTGGGTGGGATGGAGTTAATGTGGGCCTGCGTATTGCTGATAAAGCCAGGAGGCAGGTTGAGCTGCGGAKCACTTTTTGAGGAAGAAAAGAAAAGGTGCAATAGGGTAACGGCAGCGGCCGAAGACATGAAGACCGACAACAACCTGATGAGATTTGCTGTAAACAAGAATAAGCAGCATTTCCCGTTTGTTCCACGGCGCGCTCATGCTGTGTGGCTCAACCCACATTTTGAAATCTTGCTCTCTTGAAACCATCCCCTCTGTGCTCCTGCAGGGATTGTGAACTGTGGAGTCTTCGCTTTGTTTTTACAACCTCTGACAGAGTTGCCTGATTCCTGGCCTTTTCAAAGCAGCGGACATGCTTGTCAGGTATTGACAGGGGGAAAGACAGAGCTTTTTGATAAATTGCACAATGCTCCTGCTCGCCCGTGTCTGTCAGAATACATCAGTCGCCTGACTAACCCATCAGTTCAAGGTAGCCTGAACGCCCAAGCTTTTGTTACAACCCTCCGCCACGCCGCCTCCCTCCTGACTGCCGCAGGAATAGAGGCATTTAGCTATGCTTGAGAAGTCTTTTCATCTCACAGTGTTGGGCTCTATTACACTGATATGGCCATAACAGAATGCTTTAAAGGCAACACTGAGACATTGGGCACAGTGTTATTCTGTGTATATAGCTGGWGGCAGAATGCTTAACACATAAACCTTTAGTTGATGAGGGGTGAAAGGCAGCAGGGCATTAAACAGGGGCTGATATGGATGGAAAAATAGAATTCACACTTGTTGGACTTTTTTTTTCTAGTTATGAAACTTTTCACACAGACTGGAATGCTCGTCTTTAAAACCTGCACTACTTTTTATACTATATGTATATATA